ATTTGATTTTTGACTTTAAATGCTGCTTTCCATTCGTCTGATTTTCATATTTGTAAATTGTTGTATCCTGACTGTATGTCCAATATAAAGAAATATTTTCCTCCTAGTAATTTGTCTGGTAGTTTGTACATGATTAGTATTGGGTATATGTCTAGTATTGTTATTTTGTTAATGTCTTGGTAGTCAGTCACTATTCAGGCTCCTCTGTCTTTCTTTCCTACAAAGAATACAGGTGTAGCTACTAGGCATAATTTGTCTAGTTGAATTTTACATATTCATCCTTTTTGTAGCATATCTTTTATATATTTGTCTACTACTTGTTCTTCATCTAGTACAAGTAGGATGGATGGTCACCTTTTGGGTAATAGCTTGTCTGAGTCTAAGTTGATAGGCATGTCCCATATTGTATGTTCTGGTAATTGTCTTGATTTATCTGGGTTGAAGACATTAGTAAAGTCTTTAATTTTGTTCAGCAGTTTTTCTCTCTAGGAGATGTTCTGTTGTTCATTTTTTATTTTCATTTGGTTATAGATTTGGGATTTTGTAGAGGCCTTGTCATAAGTTGTTGTAACTAGTTGTACTGGATTGTTAATTTTGATATTCATTTCTTTATCATTTTCAGGCATAGTAATAATTAGTGGTTCTATAGACATAGTTGGCATAGTTGGAGAAGAGTGTATAGGGACATCTGTAGATGTTGATTTTATTAGTTTATGTTGATAGTTAAGGGGTTGTATATTTCCATAATTGTCTGGTACTAATATTGTCAGATTGTTTTCTCCTAATATTTGTGCTCAAGGTTTTCTTGGTTGCATTCTGGTGTTCTCTTCTGCTTCATGTATCCTTTTTGGCATAGGTATATTTTCCCTACTTTTGGATCTCAGTCTCCTAACTCTAGTAACTGTTCTTGTCCATGGTCTGCTTCTTTCTAGGATCAGTTCCCTGTGCTCATTAGGTACTAGTACTTTGATTTCTTCCTCTTTAGACTTTTTCTTCTTTCTAGGCTTCCTTTTCCTTTTCCTTTTCTGGTTTACTCAGATTTGTTTAATGGTTATCCCTATGGTTTTTCCTTACTGTTCCAGTTTAGCTCCCTTCCAATTGATTTCTGGGTTTCTTGCTTGTAGGTAGTCTATTCCCAGTATTACATTGTCTAATACTATGTTTGTAATAGTTATTGTTTGTTCCCAATCATCCACCTCTGTGTGGATTGTTGCCTTAATTGTATGGGTTAATTTTCCATTTGAATTGGTTGATCCATCAGCATTAGTGACAGTTCTAGGCCAGTCCAACTTTTGAGCTTTAAATCCATTCCCTGTTTAGAATGATTTATCCATTACTGAACAGGTGCTCCCTGAGTCTATGAGTGCAAGTGTTTGTATCCATTAGGTTCCATTGTATATCCATATTACTATTCAAGGGTGTCTTCCCTGTGTTGGTAGGCCAGACTCTCCTTTGACCTTTCTAGTTCTGACTATTACTAGTAGTCTTGAACAAAAGGTGGATTCCTTGAATCATTTGGGTGTTGTCCTTTATATTGGCAGGTGTATCCTTAGTTGTTTCCTAGTATGTCACCTCCATTTACTGTCCACTTTGTATGGTTGTAATGTATGTATTGACTGTATACATTGTATCATTCATTAAAGTTTGTTTTTCTAATTTGATTATTTAGTTACTGTCCTTTCTGATACAGTGGTTTTCCTCCTTGATTTCTATCTTTCAAATAAATAGTTGGTAATCCACAGTCTCTAGCCTAGTGTCCTGGTTGTCCACAATTGTAGCATTTTGTAGATGTTGAAGGTTACCTGTCTGTTTTTGGTTTTTGTTTTTTCCAGTTTTGTTTTGGTTTTAGGCTGAAGCTTTGAGCATTAATATCTATTGCATCTGGATTTCTATGATTTCCTTAAATGGTTAGCTAATAAACATAGGTATCTCCCCATTTATACTTTGGTTCATAGTTGGTAGGATGTATAAGGGTTTGTACTTCTATTGTGTAGAGGTAATTTTGAATCCTTGTTATCCACCAGCTAAGATTTTCTTTGTATGGTTTGTCTGCTACAAATATGATTCTATAGCAAACTGAATCTGGTAAGGAAGATATGAACTTTGCTTTCCTGGCTGTGTTAGGGTAGGTAGTTGTTAGTACTAATGAAGTTAATCTTTAGAATTCAAATAGAAAGTTTGCTAAGTTCTCTAGGCAATAGTCTTTGCATTTAATTCCTACTAGTTTCTGAAGGTTAGCTGTATCTTCATCTCTTACTGTACCTGTTCAATGACTCTTTAGGAATGCTATGAACTTTCCCAAGTTCAAGAACATGCCTAGTACTAATGATTGTGGTTTGGTTATTGTTCTGTTACTTTCTACCTTGATTCATACATAACTTTGGATCCAGTCAAAAGCTGTGTCTTTTAGTAATGATACCAAATAATATGCTTGTTTAGCTTCATTTGTTATTCCATTTAGTTCCAGTCTAATTATGTTTGTACTGAGTCAAGAATCAAATCCTTTGTTCAGTTTTCTATAATAATATACTAGTTTTAATTTTGCTACATCTGTAGTTACTAATGTTAGTGCTGTTAACAGTATGTTACCAGTTTGGGTGGGTGTAGTTGCTGGTGGGTTTGTACTAGTCATTAAGTGTCTACTAATGAATCTTGTAAGGATGTCCTAGTTCCTTCTGTAACCATTTTATAAGTTACTTCCACTGTTTGTTCTGTAGCTGGTTCCTCAGCTATAGTTTCTAATACTGTTTTAAGTGTTTTGATAGGTTCTCCTGGCAGAACCAGTCTTAGGACTTTGTTCATTTGGAATGCTAGTCTGAAGGTTACTGTCATGAGTGTTGAATTCCTTAAGTTTACTACTGACAGAAATGCCTCCAGCATTTGTTTGACTAGTCTTGTGTTCTGTATTACTTGTTGAGTATTAACACAAAACTGTACCATGTTTTCCATAACCTTCTAGCTATACAACACTACTTTTTCTTCTAGGTCTTGTACTTGTTTCTAGCTTTCTAGTTGGTGCTCATAACCTTGTCTTGTTAACTTTAGTTTAATGTCTTTGAGCACCCCTTCAAGCCTGTAAACCATATTGTGTACTTTTCCTAGTTCACAATTTTCTAATATGCCTGGCCAGTCAATTATCAATCCTCTACACCTTTCTAAGTTTCTATGTGTTTCTGTATGTTTCAGATTTTGCTGTTGCTCCAGTCTCCTTATTTGTTGTTCCATTCCTCCTACTGTCTCCTTAGGTATTCCTGCATTACTAAGTAGCATAGTGATTGAGGATAGAGGTAAGGATCTAATCTCTATTAGAATAGTCCTACAGTATATTGATTCAGGAATAGTCCTTGATAGTAGTGTAGGCCTTCTCTTATAGTTACTATTAAGTAAAGAGGTTGATAGTCTGTACTACTGTGTACTATTATAAAGATAGTTGTTTCAGTATATTCCTGTTGGTTTTGTGAAGCCAGTTATGCTTCTTAATGTATTACTATTACATTCTAGCAGATTGTTTAAAACAGGCCACAACAGTATAATACTTCACACAAGAAGTGATTGTACTCAATAACTGTTGTTATGAACTATATTTCTGTATAAGGATTACACTTCTTGTTGTAGGTTCACAGGCAACAGGCAGGTCCTTAACCACATAACTACTGGTCCCAAATGTAGCCTCTATCTTTACTCAACTAGGAGTATATCCCTAAGAGTGTTGATAGTACTTACACTCAGCAGAAGGGGAGTTAATGCCCTTAAGAGTAGTTTAACACGTTTGTATTTCAAGGTGAATAGAGTAGTGTTTTTGTGTAAAGAGTTTTATTGGGAGAGATGAGTGGATTACAGTTAGTTCACAAGCTGTCCTTGAATAAACTGTTATTGAGTATAATGCTCCTTACACAATACATGAAGTGCTTTTTATACTACTCTAATTATTCCTTTATCCTCCTATTTCTTTGCAAGTTGAGTGGTTCTGTTTATTAGATAGTCTGTACACTATGTTACAATATTTTTAGTATGTCACCATATACTCTATAGGATGTGTATTAGTGATTTTGTGTGTTTGAGGTGTTAGCTATTTCTGTTTTAAGATAGTAATCTATGTTAGATCTTTTGTACTGTGTGCTTCTTGCACAGCCATTATGTTTACTTCCTTAGTAGCACTTCTTTTCCTCAGCTAAGCTTAATTAGCCTTTTCATGATTGGTGCCATTAGTTCCAAGTTCTGGGTGGCTCTGTTATTGTGTGTCTGTATAGTATAATGACCTTTGTGTAAGGCTTGCCTGCTTTACACTATTTGTTGAGTACATAGGGGTCTTCAGATCTAAGTTCTATAGATCTGTAGTGTTTGTGTCCTGCTAGTATTATCAGATGGTGGTCTCTGTATATTACTTTAATATTATATTGCTTTGTTAGTCCTTCATAATGACTGGTTGTAAATACAGTGTGGTTGTGTGTTCTGTCATCTCAGATAGTACTCTATATTAAAGCAAATATTTGTGCTGTGTTTTCTTTGTATTCTTAGTGTGTTTTCATTAATAGATGTAATTGTGCTGCTTCACATTCCTTGTGTATTGTTGGGTTGTATATCTTGTATATATGCATCTTAAATGATGCTTCTTTCCTTTCTCGTTTTATTCCTTCATGTATCACATGTTGTAGTCAATGTTGCAGTTGATTGAATAACATTTAGTATGCTACTACTTGCATAGTATTTCTCTCTATTTGTATGCTTCTTGTTTTGCAGATTTGTCAATCCTAGTACATTTGATATGTCATTATTGCTTGTACACATTCTTAAAGTTGTGTCATGTGATTGCATTTCTGGCATAGTCTCTGTGTGTCTTGCAGCAAATTCTGGTTTCCTTGATTGTGTGCCATTACAAATCCTTCTGAATCCTTTCAGTCAGGCAGTTTGTAGTCATCTGTCTTGCCTCTGCTTTGCATTCACAGTGATCAGCCTGTGTGTAGACCGTGTCAGAATACCAGGCATGGCCAGATGTACAAATGTCTGATCACCACTTTTATTCCGACAAGTCCAACTTCAAGTCTGCAGTGCTAGATGGGTACTTGTTCCTTTCAGAAACCTGTAAGCTTTCCTGTAGCATAATTATGTAACAGTACAGCTAAACCCACTTCATAAGACAAGCCCGAGACCGAGGAAAAACTCGAAGACAAAATTGTCATTTTGGGGGGTGGTCCAGGTGCAAGATATGGACGAGGCCTATGTGGAATAATTGAAAAGGTCAGACGTTTGTCAGTTCTGGGATAGAACGAGATTAATATATATATGACTATTCATTTTCAGCTAGGACTTGCAATGAATACTGTAGAGATTCATACGTGGTACCACCTGTTCATGTTGCGGACTAAGCATGCAGATGAGATAAGCAAAGAACGTGTGAGGCGAAATTGTTTTCTACAAGTTTCACATACTGATTCTTTTAAAGAAAAAACGGGAAGCTTTTGACGTGAAGATCTCGTTCCTAGGGCTCTGGTGAATGCATATATCTTAACACTTTCCTACTACATGAGAACTGACGTGGATTTTCAGGGACTGTACAGGCAATGTTGGGATCAACCCGATAGTCTTCCCTTATGAACTGATAAATCCTTCTGTCGAACATATCCGGCATGCAGTTGCTAAGGACGAGACTTGTGTATTGAATTTACCGCTCCTGTATAAGTCAGACCCTTCTAAAGTTTCAGACATAGAAGAGGTCACTTTTCGTGGCGACCATAGGAGTAAGTTTTGTTATTCCTGCAAATAAGTATTGTATTAATAATACCGTACACAGCCATCGTTTACTCGACCGACACTCACTGTCAGATGGTCCTCTTTGCTGGATGGTGTCAGAGTTCAGAATTCTTCCCTTGTTGTGTACTTGAGCTAGAAAGC